TCCCACCGTTCCCTTGTTTATGGCAACTTGAAAACAGGCATAGGAATGTTTTATGCGTTGACACCTTTGATCTCTTCATTGGCTATGTTACTGTTCCCTAAATCCTCATTCAGTGTTTGCGCAACATCTTTTCCAAGTGTGTTTCCTGCAAGGGGCACTCGGGGTTTCCCTTGAAACCATCATTTGCTTCCTGGGGTTCTTCTGGATGCATTTGCTTTCTTCCTAGGATAACATGCTGCTGATTCATGTTTGGTTTGCAACTACTACTATTTTGAGATCATTTTCACAACTATCGAATTTGGAATCCCTCATCCTTCTTGCCCCGTGTTTCATTTTTCTCCTTCTATATGGAAGACTTCATACTTGTCTTGCTCTTAAATTCCATTCAAGCTTTCTTTAGCCCATCTTGAGAAACCATTAAGATGTGTTTTGAATTTTATATCAGCTAACATCGGGTGGTCATTTCTTTTTGGGAAATTTAAATTTAACAGAAAATAGTTTGTCACAGAAGCAGCTGCCTGCAAAGGCTCCTGGATTGGGACTGAAAGGTGAAAGTGAAAATAGTATGTTCCATCCCATATTTGGGTAGACCAGGGTGCCCGGATAGACTGGTCTCACCAGAAAAACACTTAATTTCCCCTCCCTCCCCCCAGGTACAGCCGACAAAACGAGGGTGTCAACTCAAAAATATTTCTCTGGTCTTTTTGAGTTGTCAGAAGAAAGAGAGTGGGGGGAATAATGTATACCTTAAATATTTTCATAGATATTTGCTAGGTGGCCAAAGCTTCTGGCACGCAAGATTACTGGAGAGCATGATTGATGATTCTTGGCTATGGGTGTGTCCTATTGGATAATGTACATACAGGGGGTGGGGAAGACCAAGCAGGGATGGGATTCAACCAGTGTTACTACCAGTTTGGTGATGATTTTGCACGTGTGTGTGTCCTTTGAAACATGTGCGTCTGATGCACACTACACACATGTGTGAAAAAACCATCAGCAGTGTCGTGCGGAGAGCTGAAAAGCACTATGTGCCAACTCCCAAACAAGTAGGAGAAAGGAAACACTGTCTTTCTGGTGGTTACAAATATTTATAATATATCACCTATAAAAGTTTACATAATTCTTCCTGTTTCTCACACATTGGATTTCTAGGGACTTCCATCACAAAAACAATTCCAGGATGACCTAGTATCCCTGACATGAAATCTCAAGCCAAATTAAAATCCCCACTTCGGCTAAGAACATAATATTTTTAACTTCGCAGAATAACAAGTTACAAAAACATGATATACTTATATAAGTGTTCAGATAACTTTCAAAAAGGTCAAATTAAGAAGAAAGATGAAGTTTCTTTGGTTGTATAATTTCTTAGGTATAATAGGAAAATACATATATTTTTTCCATATATAATATATCTAATACATGAATTGTCAGTATTATTGACAAATTTTGCTGAACTTTTCTTTTAAATTTTTGGTGGTAAACCTATTCTCCCAAACAGGACTATTTACAAATTAGACTACTCTAGTAGAAGAAAGAACAAAAAGGGATAAGTTGCCATGTTTACTGCTTTTAAAATTTCTGGATGTTTCCATTCTAGTTTCAACCCTTTCTGGAGAAGAATGAGTTTCTCAATCTTTCCATATACGAACTGTATTTGGACCAAAATGGAGATTTAGCAGCTAACCTGAAGATTGTGAGCTGGCTGTATTTCCCTAAGAAGTCTGTCATCAAAGAGAAAATGGTGACTTTTGAAAGAAAGAGAATTATTATCAACCAACTTCTTTTGTTATGGCTAAAGTTGTACAACAAGGTGGGAGAAACATTTATGTCTTTTTTCTCTTTTCCAAAGGATTGCGAGCCATTTCATTGGGCTAAGTTTTTTAAACCAAGGCTTATTGTTGAAATGGAGAAGCCACAAGAAAAATCGTAAAAGACCTTCAAGTGCTAGGAATGATAGCCTGAGGTTGTTTTCTGATTGTAAAAGAAGAAGGCAATTTTGTGGATTACTGCCTGAGTTCATGAAATTGAATTTAAGCTAGATGAAGGCCCTTTTGGTTCCAGTGGGAAATAAGCCTTGTAATCAGGATTCATCTTGCTCTTGTTGGGTTGAGTGTTCCATGAAATGGCAATAAAGATATATTGAAGCAACTCAGACCTGGCCAGAGTTATCCCTGCCTCTTTTTCACCCAGTGAGAAAGAACAATAAACCTTCTGCTCCTAGGAAGGAGGTCCAAAGCTGTGAGTTCCCATGGAGTTATAATGATTTTCTGCTATACCCTGACCGAGAAAATGGAAGCATTGAAACATGACTTTGATGCAGAGAATAGAATAGAATAGAATAGAATTATTTATTGGCCAAGTGTGATTGGACACACAAGGAATTTGTCTTGGTGCAAATGCTTTCATTGTACATAAAAGAAAAGATAGATTCATCAAGAGTCAAGAATCATAAGGTACAACACTTAATGATAGTCACAGTGTACAATAAGCAATCAAATCATATCAGGAAACAGTCAATATAGATCGTAAGGATACAAGCGACAAAGGTACAATCATACAATCACAAGTTGGAGGGGATGGGTGATAATGAGTGATGAGACGATTAATAGTAATAGTAGTGCAGACTTTGTAAATAATTGGACAGTGTTCAGGGAATTATTTGTTTAGCAGAGTGATGGTTTTTGGGAAAAAACTGTCCTTATGTCTAATTATGTGTAGTGCTCCATAGCACCATTTTGAGGGTAGGAGTTGAAACAGTTTTTGTCTGGGATGTGAGGGGTCTCTAAATATTTTCACAGCCCTCTTTTTGACTCGTGAAGCATACAGGTCCTCGATTGAAGGCAGGTGGGTAGTAATTGTTTTTTCTGCAGTCCTAATTACTCTCTGAAGTCTGTATCTGTCTTCTTGGGTTGAAGAGAAAAGCCTTTCCTGATATCCGATATAATGAGGGACATTTTGAAAGGAATTTCTCCTTAGATTTGGCCTTTACTTCTACAAGAGAGCACCTTATCTGAAAACCCTTGAATGCAAATGTTCATCTTGGTTGTTAGCCTCCTCAAGTCTTTTTTGGGGGTGAATGAAGTCTCCAAATGTAACTAATAACAAACTTTGTATTAGTTTTATACTAATTATACAAATTTGTAATTCAGATATATTATTGTTCAACTAGCGTGGAACAAATTTGTTCTTCCATGCCAGTTGTTATCTTATTGAAATTATTCAGCACTTGTCTTGTATACCTAGTTAAGCCTTATAAATATGTCCTTCTGACAACTTGTATCTATCGCCCAGATGCTGCAGCAAAAGATTCCTGGCTCACTCTTTTTGAGGGACATGTTCTAATGACCTCACATCTTTGTCATATCACTACAGTTTTAGAAATTTAGCAGTCACTTTAAATCTTATTTCAAGAACATGTCAGCATGTCAGGCTGGTTAGTGATAATGGTTTTTTTTTTTAAATTCCCTGTTTTTCTGCTTAGTCTCTTCCTCAGTCCAAATGTGTGGAAAAATGTCAACCAGGATCTGTCAAGCAAGCTCGAGAAGGAGAGCCAGTTTGCTGCTATGACTGCATTCCTTGTCCAGAGGGAACCATCTCCATTCAAGAAGGTGCTCCGGCTGAAGATAATGGAAGGGCTTGTAGAAGTGGATTCATCCAGAGTGTTTATATGGAACTGCAAATTTAAAAAACAGTCTGAAGCTTAGCTGCTTAGCTGCTTTCTTGTTAATTTTCATACTGCACAATTTATGATCTAAAGGAAAGAATAGTAAAAAAAAAAAATCTTAAAGGAGAAGCTGGATAGAGACAGAAGTGTGAAATATTGAGCAAACTTTATTACACCTAGACTCAATATCTCTTCTGCTTTTTATTTCTGAATGTGATCTTCCACGTCTTTATTTCTAGGAACATTCTTGGAAACTCAAGGCGCTATTTTAGGTCCACCTAAAATAATAATAAAAGGCTAATTTTGATGCATTCTCCATGGGCTTCCCCTTGAGGCTTACTTGGAAGGTGTTGCTGCTCCACAATGAAGTGGACAGTTATGACTGCACCTCATTTGACACATTTTACCATTGCTGCCAGCAGCCATTTCTGCTTACTTGCAGGACTAGTCTTCTCTTTAAGTTAACTAGGTTTTATAAAATAAAACATCTTTGGGATCCAGTATATTAACAAGTGTAGAACCCAGGATGTTTCCCTAGAAAAGTTAACTATTTCATTTTCTCACTTCTAATAATGTAGCTTCCTATCAAATATCTGCACGTTTCAGAGGAAATTATTCATTTTTTGGAACTTCCCCCAATTTGATACACCTTAGCAATATAGATATAGCTGATCGATGATAGATGATCAATAGATAGATAGATAAATAGATGGATGGATAGATGGATAGATGGATGGATGGATAGATGAATGATGATGACAGATAGATGACAGATAGATAAATAGCTCAATAGCTAGGCAGCTGATAGATAGATAGATAGACAGACAGATGATGGATGGATGATGATAGATGTATGATGATAGCTAGATAGCTAATGGATGGATGATAATAGATGGATGGATGGATGATGATGGATAGATAGATGATAGATGATAGACAATAAATAGATAGATAGATAGATAGATAGATAGATAGATAGATAGAAAAATAGATCAATAGACAGACAGACAGATAATGATGATATAGATAGCTAATGGATGGGTGAAAGATATATATATAGATAAATGGATGATGATAGATGATGGTAGCTAGCTAAATAGCTATCTATCTATCTATCTATCTATCTAGCTAGATCTGTGTGTCTGAGAGAGAGAGATGACAAACAAACATAGAGATAGAAAATTATATTCTTCAGAACTTTTTTGGTTCAATTCTAAACAAATGCTTTTTAAAAAATACTTATGGTATCAACTGTTGTGGCAAGAAAGTATTTCTTGAAATGTAAAAGGACAGAAGGTTAAAGAAATGTTGCTTTGTTGTTTTCTCAGATATGGATCAATGCATGAACTGTCTGGAAGATAAATATCCAAATGAAGACCGAGTTCAATGTATTCCCAAAGCTGTATCCTTCCTATTGTATGAAGAATATCTGGGCATCATCCTGGTCTCCTTTGCCCTATTCTTGTTCCTGACTTCAGGTTTTGTCTTAGTGATATTCTTTCAATACCTAGAAACTCCCATTGTCAAAGCTAACAATCGTGACCTCTCTTTTATCCTCCTGGTCTCCCTCTTGCTTTGCTTCTTGTCTCCTTTTCTCTTCATTGGTCAACCAAGGAAAGTCACCTGTCTTTTCCAGCAGATGGTTTTCAGCATCACTTTCTCAGTTGCCATTTCCTCTCTCTTGGCCAAGACAATCACAGTGGCGCTGGCTTTCCTGGCCACAAAACCAGGAAACCGAGTGAAGAGATGGTTGGGGAAGAGCTTAGCCAATTCCATCACCCTTTCTTGTTCTGCTGTCCAAATTATCCTCTGCTCCATCTGGCTTGGAGCTTCTCCCCCATTCCCTGACTTTGACTTTCACTCTCAACCTGGAGAGATCATCCTGCAATGCAATGAAGGCTCCATTGTCATGTTCTACATCACCCTCAGCTACCTGGGCTTCCTGGCCACCATCTGTTTCATAGTGGCTTTCCTGGCCAGGAACCTGCCTGGGGCTTTTAATGAAGCCAAGCTTATAACCTTCAGCATGCTGGTCTTCTGCAGTGTCTGGGTGACTTTTGTGCCCACCTACCTAAGCACCAAAGGGAAATACATGGTGGCTGTGCAGATCTTCTCCATCTTGGCCTCCAGTGCTGGGCTGCTCGGCTGCATCTTCATCCCTAAATGCTACATAATCATTCTGAGGCCAGACCTGAATATGAAGGAGCAGCTGACAACCAGAAGAAAAGAAGAAATGTGAGACAGAAGGATTTTAAGTCTCAGCATTTTCCAACAAGCCACACTGAAAATACTCCCAGCTGCTCTCCATACCTAAGCAGACCAACAATTTTGGTTGAAGTGATTAAAAGGCTGATGCAAGATTCTGTTCCACATCCTTATCTCGTAGAATTCCTAGATGTTCACTCAGCTCTTTTCAATTCTTAAGATGGTATATCTGTCCTGGGCCTTTAGCCTACCTGATATCAGGTTTTTGAAACATGATATTTGTGAAATGAGAATCTTGTGCTGATGTCAAAAGATATGTTGGTGGTGCCCTAAAATTTCCATTATTTTAGTTGTATCATAGTTCATCTGTAGTTGGTGTACTTTGCAATATTAGACTCAAGATCACATTAGGAGTAGTATAATCTGGATTCAACAACTAGTCAACTAAGTTATTATAAATAAGTTAAAGAAGAAAGCAGCTAACAGAGCATGATAAGATTTTTATACAAGAATTTCTACAGAATGGGATGATTGAATGTCCCATTAATGTCAGGGAGAAGTGAAATTGGCCCTAAATGCTCAAGCACAAGCTGTGGTAATTCATGCATCATCATATTCTGCTTTTGGACAGTCCAAAGAATCCAAACAAAAGAGCCCAAAGATTGTCATTGGGAAAGGAAGATAGGCCCTGGTCTTATCTCTGAGACTTATTCTTCCTCCTTCACTGTATTATCACTTTCTATCTTTCTAGCATCCAAGAGGTTCTCAGCCTTCCTCAAACCCTTCTTGGAGCTATCAAAAAATCTCCATTTGGAAGTTCTGGTTTGTAGCGCTTCGGCGGCAGGCAGGAATCTGCAATTGTGTGCGGTTTCTGCCTGCGCTCGCCACTGGAGTGCCCTGAGCCAGCCGGCTTCGGGGCTAAGCCACCCCATAGAAGTGGTTAAGACAGGGGAGACCTGGCAGGGTTGAGGGGTATCGCACCTCTCCTCCTCAGCTGGCTAAAGTCCCTTTTCTGAAGGTGGTAAGAGCAGCGGTCAGAAATGGCCACCTCAAAGAAGCACTCAGCCAGAAAAGAAAGTGCAGGAGGAAGTTAAGAAGTGAAAGCTTTGGCTGACCGGGATAAGAAGCAACAATTTAAATTTAAATTTAAATGGAATTTAAATTTTTAAAAAAGATACATAGTTCCCAAGGAAGATTCGGAAGCGGCGAATGAAAGTTAAAAGGGAAAGGTGTTTTTTTCACCCTCCTTCCTAATGTTGACAGCAAACAGAATTGAATGAGAAATCCCAAAAACCCGCTTTGGCATCAATAGGTAATTAAACTGGATAATTAAATGTCAAGGGGATAGTAAGGATATCTGAATAAAAACTTTTTTTTTCTTGCTGTAGGTGGGAAGGGAGAGGAAAAGAATAAGAGTAGGATTTGGAAGGAGGAGACATCCTAGAATTTAAACGAATCTGTTTAAATCCTAACAAGACTTCTAAAAGATACATTCTAACTGGAATTTTGTAACTAAACAGTAACCCCAGGAAGAGAAAGTGAAAAAAGAAGAAAGTGTCAAAAGAAACAGCTTGTGTGTATCTGGATTGCTTGGTGTCTTTGGGACTTTTGGAAATTATATTTGAATGACTAAAAACACTTGGGTGGTTGTTTGAAAATTTTTTTTATTTTTTTTTACACTGGCATCTCTTGTGGATGAACTGAAAATGGAATTTAAAAAATACAAAGAAGAAGAACAAGATGGGAAGGACTCTCTTGGCTCTCTTTTTCAATTCTTAGAAATGGCGATCTGTACCTATGAGAAATTAAAAGAAAGAACTGCACAACAAGAGGATTGGGACAAAGAAGAAGCCATCTTTAACGAACAAGTAACTATCTGGGGAAGAAAGGGAATGGGGGCAAAGAGAATGGAGAATTTAAGACCTAAAAAACCAATCAAAAAAGGGAAAAATAAGGTGAAAAGTGGATATAATGTTAGAAAGCAACAGAAAGGGGGAATACAGAAGAGGGAAATGGAGGTGGTGAGACAAGGGGGTAAAAAGGGCAGAGAGAAGAAGCAAGGGAGGAAGGAAGGGAAGGGAAACTTCAAAGGTGTGGAGCAAGACATAAAGAAATAGGACTTGTTTAGAGATAATGGGTAAAAACTTAACTGAAAAAATGATTCTGCAAAGGTGCATAAGATTGTATTGTTATATTTGTATTAGAAATAATGTTAGAAAATTGGAAACAACATGTGATTAAAAAATGGGATAAAATATTTAGTGTAATTCAGTGAAATTTTTGTGAACAAAAGAAAGGAAATGAAATAAATGAGAGAATTGAATTAAGAAGGAATGGGAACATTTTAATGACACAATGTTTTAAAATACAAGTGAAGTGGGGGGGAAATAATTATGGAAAGTTTATAAGTGTTCCTATAGAAGTATGATACTTATTTGAAAAGTAATGTGTAAAATGTTATATACAAAATTTATATTTATATTTATATATTTTCAGGTTTTTGTGTGTATTTGTATGTGGATCTTTGGTTATACGGGTTTTCTCCCACATAAAATTGGAAGTATCTAGGCGATGTTTCGATGAAGTCTCATTTGTCATCTTCAGGCTTATGTCTTTGGCTTTGTGCTTCTCGGAGTAATGTGAGCTTGCAGCTGCTTCTTCCTTTTAACTGCTAGTGGGGGTGTGACTTGATTGGGTGGGGGCTTGGCTGTGTTCTGATTGGTAGTGGGGTTGGCTGCGTTCTGATTGGCTGGGGGTGTGTTCTGTTCAGGTGGGGGCTTGGTTGTGCTCAGGTTAATTTTAGTTGCTGAGGGATTTGAGCTGGTGAGCTGTGATCCTGTTGTTTGGCTCACGTTCATGGTCATGCCACATCTTTATGGTGGGTGTCAGTTTGCTTCATGTATGGGTCGGAGGGGTTTGAAGTGGGTAGTGATGCAGCTGCGGTAGGGCTTCTGGTCCGTGGTCGTGTCTCATCTTCTGTGTGCATGTGAGTCTGCTTTCTACGTGGAAGTGTGGTGGTAGCATCTTGTGTGGCCCTTGTACTTGTGGGTCTGGTGTCATTCTTCATGTTAGGTACTCATTTGTTAATGAGGGCGGGTTTCCAAATGGCTAATAGGCAGGAGGTATCATCTCATTTATTCATGCTATGTGGGTGTTTTTCTATCTCTATGGCTTCTCTGATTATTCTGTTGTTGAAGTGTTCGGTTTTGGCAATAGTTCTGGTATTTTTAAAGTCAATCTCATGTCCTGTGGCTTTGAGGTTTTGGACCAGGGAAGAGATGGGTTATTCTTTTTTGATTGAGTTCTTGTGTTCTTCAATGTGTGCACTTATTTTTCTGTTAGTTTGTCTGATGTATGTGGTGGGATAGGCTGTGCAAGGGATTTCATATACTCCTTGGTTTTCTAACTCGATTTTGTCTTTAGAGTTTCTTAGGATGGTGGATATTTTTCTGTTTGTGCAGAATGCTGTTTTAATGTTGTGTTTTTGGAAGATCTTGCTGATTTTGTCTGTAGTGCTTTTTATATATGGGAGGAGGGCTTTGCCATTCTCTTGTTCTCTGTCTTGGATTTTGGTTGGGGTTTGTTTTTGGATTAGGTGGGTAATCTTCTTTCTTTGGAATTCATTGGCTGTTAGTACATTAGTGAGAGTGTGTAGTTCGGTTTTTAGATGTTGTTCGTTGGCTAAGCATTTTGTTCTGGAGATGAGTGTCTCAGCTACGGAATTGATCTGTGCTGGGTGGTGGTGTGAGAGTGCGTGTAGATAGCGGTTTGTATGTGTTTTCTTCTGGTAGATGGTGTGTCCTAGGGAGCCATTGGATTTTTTGTATACTAAGACATCTAGGAAGGGAAGTTGATTGCTAGCTTCTGTTTCCATGGTGAATTGTATTTTGGGGTGTAGGCTGTTGAGGTGTGTGAGGAAGTTGTTCAGCTTTTCTTTCCCATGTGACCAGATTATGAAGGTGTCATCTACGTATCTGAGCCAGAGTTTGGGTTTGTGATCATATTTTTCTAGAGCTTGTGTTTCAAAGTGTTCCATGTAGAGTTTTGCGATGACAGGTGAGAGGGGGGATCCCATGGGTGCTCCTTCTATTTGTTTGTATTTTTGTCCATTGTAGGTGAAGTATGTATTGGATAGGCAGTGGTTGGTCAGATCTAGCATGTGCTTGGAGGGGGGTGTTGTATTTGTTTTGGATGGCTGTCAAGGCTTCTTTTATTGGCACTTGGGTGAAGAGGGATATGACATCGAAGCTCACTAGTAGGTCGCTGGGTTGCAAGTTTTGTTTCTTTAAACAACCACCCGGTTAATTTTAATCATCTAGATGCAAAAACCAAAAATCACCAAATAATCCAAATAATCCAAGGCTGTTTCTACTTGCATCTTTTTTCCACTTTCTCTTCCTGGGGTTCTATTATTTTGTTACCAAATTTCAATTAAAATGTATCTTTGAGGAAATTTGTTAAAATTTCACTGTAAGTTCCTTTTAATTACAGTTTCATTCCTTAATTCCAGGCAGTCTCCTCCATTTCTCCAGATCCTGCCCTTTTATTCTTTTTTTTCTCCTTCCCGCTTTAAAAACTTTTAAATGTCCAGAAATCTTTATTATCCCTTTGACTTTTCTTTTCCGCTTAGATGCCTATTAATGTCAAAGTGGATTTTTTTTCAATTTCTTGCTTAAGTCTCTTAGCAATCAGTATAAGGAAGGGAAGAAAAAAAACTAATCCTTTCCCTTCTCTCTCTCCTTTGCAGCTTCAAAGTCTTCTTTGCGAACAATGTTGTTAAGTTTAAATTCCAGGGTACCTTATTTGTTGCTTTTGCTGTTTGACCCT